GGTGTCAGCAATGACACTTTCCCCACCAACAGGGCTGGCCTCACCCCATCCTTCCTCTGCTACTCTCCCGCTCAGGACTTGAAAATGGAGCGAAAAGCTCAGAGCTTCCGCTTTGCTCCGGATTCCGCTTGTGACCCCCTATGCTATGCCCATGGTTCTTGGCCAGATCACCAGGAGAAAGGAGAGGGGATAAAGCATAAAGAAAAAGAACTAATGCAGCCACCACATCTAATGACAGGAGATCTTAACAATCTGATTTTAGGACAGCCAGATTCTGCGACTCTCTACTTATAATATGGGATGTAGTATAGCTGTGGGCAGCATAACATTTGTAAACATGCCAATAAATACTCCATTTCTTTAAGACACTTAAGACAATGTAGCCTTTATACTATCTCTTATGTATGGTCCCTGAGGTTTGTGTTTCAATGGCATTGGTTTGACATCAGTTTGAGACAACTCAGAATTTATTGATGGGTGCACTTGACCTGAAGTTGACCACCTTCTGACCTTTGCTTGCACTCCTTCAAGCTGATATTGCATTCCCATAGACGTGTATGGAAGTGGAAAACCCAACAAAAGCCAGTCAGCACAGCCCACTTAGTTAGTAGTTTTTACCTTAGGAATATATTACAATATTAAAAATAACTTTATCTGATAAGTTTCTTGGTCAATAGCAGCTAAAAGTCCGAACACTTTCACCCCCTTCCTGTCCAGGCCAATTTTCAGCTTTCAGTGCTATCACACTTTGAATGACAATTGCGTGGTCATGCAACACTGTACCCGTATTAATGTTTTAGCATTTTTTTTGAGACCGATAACTTTATTTTTGTGGTATTTATTCACTACATTGATTTTTATTTTTTCGCTATATAAATGAAAGTCCAAAAATTTTTTAAAAAAGTGTTTTTCTTATAATAATTTGCAAGTAAATAATCTTTCTTCATAAATCTTGGCCAAAATGTATTCATCTATCTTTTTGGTAAAAAATAAAAACCCAAATTAGTTTATAACTAGAGATGAGCGAATCGAAGTATCCGAAGTGGAATTCGAGTCGAATATCGGAAAAATTTCGATTCGTGCCGAATCCGAAAAATAGCCTAATTCGGACGCGCGAATCGAAATTTTTCAGAAAATGGCGGCTGACATGTGCGGCGACGGAGCGGGGAAGTCTGGGAAGGCGCGCAGACAAGGCGCGCTGACCCATAATGCATTCCTCAACTACATGTGATCGCATCAGCCTATCAGCAGCCAGCCAGCCAGCACTGTGTAATGGTCGAGCTATAAATAGCGGCCATTTTGGAATTCTTCATTTGCCTGCAGTTATTGAACAGAGGCAGACGCACCGCTCTGTACTAGGGACAGGGACAGAGTTAGGGCCACAGAAACGATAATTGGGGACAGAGAAAAGTTACTTAGGGACAGAGAACCATTACTCAGGGACACAGACTTGTTAATGAGGGCCACAGAATCGTTATTTAGGGACAAAGAAACGCTAGTTAGGGCCCACAGAATTCATAATCAGGGGGACAGACAGAATTGTTTACTCAGTGCCAGAGAATTGTTACTTAGGGCCACAGAAACGTTATTAGGGCCACAGAATTGTTACTCAGGGACACAGAATTGTTACTGAGTGCCAGAGAATTGTTACTCAGGGACAGACAGAATTGTTACTGAGTGCCAGAGAATTGTTACTTAGGGCCACAGAAACTTTAATTAGGGCCACAGAATTTTTACTCAGGGACAGACAGAATTGTTACTGAGTGCCAGAGAATTGTTACTTAGGGCCACAGAAACTTTACTTAGGGCCACAGAATTGTTACTCTCTCACAGACACAGAATTGTTACTCGCACAGACACAGAATTGTTACTGAAGGCCACAGAACTGTTACTTAGGGCCACAGAATTGTTACTCGCACAGACACAGAATTGTTACTCGCACAAACACAGAACTGTTACTGAGGGCCACAGAACTGTTACTTAGGGCCACAGAATTGTTACTCGCACAGACACAGAATTGTTACTCAGGGCCACAGAACTGTTACTTAGGGACAAAGAAACGCTAGTTAGGGCCACAGAATTCATACTCAGGGACAGACAGAATTGTTACGGAGTGCCAGAGAATTGTTACTCTGGGCCACAGAAACTTTACTTAGGGCCACAGAATTTTTACTCAGGGACAGACAGAATTGTTACTGAGTGCCAGAGAATTGTTACTCAGGGACAGACAGAATTGTTACGGAGTGCCAGAGAATTGTTACTCAGGGCCACAGAAACTTTACTTAGGGCCACAGAATTTTTACTCAGGGACAGACAGAATTGTTACTGAGTGCCAGAGAATTGTTACTCAGGGACAGACAGAATTGTTACGGAGTGCCAGAGAATTGTTACTCAGGGACAGACAGAATTGTTACTGAGTGCCAGAGAATTTGTTACTTAGGGCCACAGAAACTTTACTTAGGGCCACAGAATTTTTACTCAGGGACAGACAGAATTGTTACTGAGTGCCAGAGAGAATTGTTACTCAGGGACAGACAGAATTGTTACGGAGTGCCAGAGAATTGTTACTTAGGGCCACAGAAACTTTACTTAGGGCCACAGAATTGTTACTCGCACAGACACAGAATTGTTACTCGCACAGACACAGAACTGTTACTGAGGGCCACAGAAACTTTACTTAGGGACAAAGAAACGCTAGTTAGGGCCACGGAATTCATACTCAGGGACAGACAGAATTGTTACGGAGTGCCAGAGAATTGTTTACTCAGGGCCACAGAAACTTTACTTAGGGCCACAGAATTTTTACTCAGGGACAGACAGAATTGTTACTGAGTGCCAGAGAATTGTTACTCAGGGACAGACAGAATTGTTACGGAGTGCCAGAGAATTGTTACTCTCAGGGACAGACAGAATTGTTACTGAGTGCCAGAGAATTGTTACTTAGGGCCACAGAAACTTTACTTAGGGCCACAGAATTTTTACTCAGGGACAGACAGAATTGTTACTGAGTGCCAGAGAATTGTTACTCAGGGACAGACAGAATTGTTACGGAGTGCCAGAGAATTGTTACTTAGGGCCACAGAAACTTTACTTGGGGCCACAGAATTGTTACTCGCACAGACACAGAATTGTTACTCGCACAGACACAGAACTGTTTACTGAGGGCCACAGAAACTTTACTTAGGGACAAAGAAACGCTAGTTAGGGCCACGGAATTCATACTCAGGGACAGACAGAATTGTTACGGAGTGCCAGAGAATTGTTACTCAGGCCACAGAAACTTACTTAGGGCCACAGAATTTTTACTCAGGGACAGACAGAATTGTTACTGAGTGCCAGAGAATTGTTACTCAGGGACAGACAGAATTGTTACGGAGTGCCAGAGAATTGTTACTCAGGGACAGACAGAATTGTTACTGAGTGCCAGAGAATTGTTACTTAAGGGCCACAGAAACTTTAATTAGCGGCCACAATTTTAACTCAGGGACAGACAGAATTGTTACTGAGTGCCAGAGAATTGTTACTCAGGGGACAGACAGAATTGTTACGGAGTGCCAGAGAATTGTTTGACTCAGGGCCACAGAAAACTTTACTTAGGGCCAGAGAATTTTTACTCAGGGACAGACAGAATTGTTACTGATTGTGCCAGAGAATTGTTACTCAGGGACAGACAGAATTGTTACTGAGTGCCAGATAATTGTTACTCAGGGCCCCAGAAACTTTACTTAGGGCCACAGAATTTTTACTCAGGGACAGACAGGAATTGTTACTGAGTGCCCAGAGAATTGTTACTCAGGGACAGACAGAATTGTTACTGAGTGCCAGAGAATTGTTACTTAGGGCCACAGAAACTTTACTTAGGGCCACAGAATTGTTACTCGCACAGACACAGAATTGTTACTGAGGGCCACAGAACTGTTACTTGGGGCCACAGAAACGTTTAATCAGGGACACAGAATTGTTACTGAGGGCCACAGAACTGTTACTTAGGGCCACAGAATTGTTACTTCGCACAGACACAGAATTGTTTACTCAGGGACACAGAATTGTTACTCAGGGACACATAATCGTTTAATTAAAGAGTATGTCAGACAACATGCAGGAGGAAGTTGGCAGAGGAGGCAATGTTTTAGGAGCGAGCAGACGTTGGCAGCAGAGGAAGGGGTCGAGGCAGCACTATTCGCAGCCAGAGGCCAGTGCTCCCGGTGTCATCCAGCGGTCGTGTCTCCACCGACAACCCTGCCGTCGTCGATTGGTTGGCTCGGTCGTTCTTCCTCTTCCCAGGTCACCTTCTGACACCTACAGCCAACGGTCGGTGGGTACGTCAGACACAACCGTTAGTTGGCATGGCCCGGGACCAAGCCCACTGAAAATCACGTGTCCTCTACCTGCCCCCTGTCCTTTGGTGTTCCCTCACCAAGCGAAGTATCGCATGCTGTGAAGGCTTCACAGCCCCACTGTACAGTGAGGAAGAGCTAACAGAGGGCGGTCAGGAACGGGGGGAGACATCCGCCTTTTTCAGCAGCTAGGCGAAGAAGTAGTGGCGAGGAGAGTGGCCCGGTAGCCGGTCTAGAGACAGGTCTGTATCTCCTGACCCAGATGCAGCCGAGGGGCTAGTATGTGAGGCGGAGACCCTACTTGATGATGAGGAGGTTGATCGCACTTGGCAGCCTAGTCGTCATCAGGCAATTTACTTCCGCATCATCAGGAGAAGAGGGTGGCAGCTTGGCAGCGAGCAAACAGTCGGTGGGTTGCCCAGGAGACAGCAGCTGCAGGGTCGCATGAGCAGTGTCAGTGGAAGCAGTGTCAGTGGAGCCAAACGGCCACGGAGTAGAGCACCAGCTCCACTGCAGCCTAACCACCACGGCCAGTAGTGGGCCGGTGTTGCACGGAGGAAGCAGCAGTCAGCCAGTGAGGAGTATCGGGGGCAAAGTTTCCTACTACTCGGCGGTGTGGCAATTTTTCGTCAAGCCGCCCGAGGAAGTAAACGTAGCCGTATTACTGTCGACTATGTGGCCAGAAAGTCAAGCGTGGCCAGGGGGCCCATGTTGGGACTATTTGGGCCATGGGGGGGGACAATGGGAGAACCTCCCATTGCTGCTGTCTCCATCGCCACACTCTGCCATGTGCCACTTTCAGGTCTCACACACTGCTGGTGTGTAGAATTTTTTGACATAGGGTGCTGGCAGATTACGGGCCTCCCATAGCTGCTGCCAGGCCCCTAATCTGCCATAGGCCCCTATATACCGCCTCCTCATGCTGCTGCTGCCAGGTCCAGAGTCTGTCATGGGTCCCTGTACGGCCCTCCCATTGCTGCTGTCTCCATCGCCACACTCTGCCATGTGCCACTTTCAGGTCTCCTCACACACTGCTGGTGTGTAGAATTTTTTGACATAGGGTGTTGGCAGATTACGGGCCTCCCATTGCTGCTGCCAGGCCCCTAATCTGCCATAGGCCCCTATATACCGCTTCCTCATGCTGCTGCCAGGTCCAGAGTCTGTCATTGGGTCCCTGTACCTCCCATTGCTGCTGTCTCCATCGCCACACTCTGCCATGTGCCACTTTCAGGTCTCCTCACACACTGCTGGTGATGTAGAATTTTTTGACATAGGTGTTGGCAGATTACGGGCCTCCCCATTGCTGCTGCCAGGCCCCTAATCTGCCATGGGCCCCTATATACCGCCTCCTCATGCTGCTGCCAGGTCCAGAGTCTGTCATGGTCCCTGTACGGCCTCCCATTGCTGCTGTCTCTCATCGCCACACTCTGCCATGTGCCACTTTCAGGTCTCCTCACACACTGCTGGTGTGTAGAATTTTTTGACATAGGGTGCTGGCAGATTATGGGCCTCCATTGCTGCTGTCTCCATCGCCACACTCTGCCATGTGCCACTTTCAGGTCTCCTCACACACTGCTGGTGTGTAGAATTTTTTGACATAGGGTGTTGGCAGATTACGGGCCTCCCATTGCTGCTGCCAGGCCCCTAATCTGCCATGGGCCCCTATATACCCGCCTCCTCATGCTGCTGCCAGGTCCAGAGTCTGTCATGGGTTCCCTGTACGGCCTCCCATTGCTGCTGTCTCCATCGCCACACTCTGCCATGTGCCACTTTCAGGTCTCCTCACACACTGCTGGTGTGTAGAATTTTTTTGACATAGGGTGCTGGCAGATTATGGGCCTCCCCATAGCTGCTGCCAGGCCCCTAATCTGCCATGGGCCCCTATATACCATAGCCTCCTCATGCTGCTTCCGCAGGTCCACAGTGTCATGCCATGTGCCACTGGGTTTTCAGGTCTCCTCACACACTGCTGTGTGTGTTGAATTTTTTGACATAGGGTGCTGGCAGATTATGGCCTCCTATAGCTGCTGCCAGGCCCCTAATCTGCCATAGGCCCCTATATACGCTTCCTCATGCTGTTACTGCTGCAGGTCCCAGAGTCTCTCATGGTCCCTGTAACGGCCTCCATTGCTGCTGTCTCCATCGCCACACTCTGCCATGTGCCACTTTCAGGTCTCACACACTGCTGGTGTGTAGAATTTTTTTGACATAGGGTGCTGGCAGATTATGGGCCTCCCATAGCTGCTGCCAGGCCCCTAATCTGCCATAGGCCCCTATATACCCGCCCTCCTCATGCTGCTGCCAGGTCCAGAGTCTGATCAATGGGTCCCCTGTACGGCCTCCCATTGCTGCTGTCCTCCATCGCCACAACTCTGCCATGTGCCACTTTCAGGTCTCCTCACACACTGCTGGTGTGTAGAATTTTTTGACATAGGGTGTTGGCAGATTACGGGCCTCCCAATTGCTGCTGCCAGGCCCCTAATCTGCCATGGGCCCCCTATATACCCTGCCTCCTCATGCTGCTGCCAGGTCCAGATGTCTGTCATGGGTCCCTGTACGGCCTCCCATTGCTGCTGTCTCCATCGCCACACTCTGCCATGTGCCACTTTCAGGTCTCCTCACACACTGCTGGTGTGTAGAATTTTTTGACATAGGGTGCTGGCAGATTAATTGGCCCTCCCATAGCTGCTGCCAGGCCCCTAATCTGCCAGGGGGCCCCTATATATACCTGACCTCCTCATGCTGCTGCCAGGTCCACAGTGTCTCATGCCATGTGCCACTTTCAGGTCCTCCTCACACTGCTGGTGTGTTGAATTTTTTGACATAGGGTGCTGGCAGATTATGGGCCTCCTATAGCTGCTGCCCACCTAATCTGCCATAGGCCCCTATATACCGCTTCCTCAAGCTGCTGCCAGGTCCAGAGTCTCTCATGGGTCCCTGTACGGCCTCCCATTGCTGCTGTCTCCATCGCCACACCATTCCATGTGCCACTTTCAGGTCTCCTCACACACTGCTGGTGTGTAGAATTTTTTGACATAGGGTGCTGGCAGATTATGTGGCCTCCCATTAGCTGCTGCCAGGCCCCTAATCTGCCATAGGCCCCTATATACCCTGTACGGCTCCCATGCCTCCTCATGCTGCTGCCTCCACCACACTGGGTGATCCAGAGTCTGTCATGGGTCCCTAGTACGGCCTCCCATTGCTGCTGTCTCCATCGCCCCGTACACACTCTGGCCATGTGCCACTTTCAGGTCTCCTCTCACTGCATGGTGTGTAGAATTTTTGACATAGGGTGCTGGCAGATTACGGGCCTCCCATTGCTGCTGCCAGGCCCCTAATCTGAGCCATGGGCCCCTATACCGCCTCCTCATGCTGCTGCCAAGTCCAGAGTGTGTCATGGTCCCTGTACGGCCTCCCATTGCTGCTGTCTCCATACCACACTCTGCCATGTGCCACTTTCAGGTCTCCTCACACTGCTGGTGTGTTGAATTTTTTGACATAGGGTGCTGGCAGATTATGGGCCTCCCATAGCTGCTGCCAGGCCCCTATCTGCCATGGGCCCCTATATACCGCCTCCTCATGCTGCTGCCAGGTCCACAGTGTCTCATGCCATGTGCCACTTTCAGGTCTCCTCACACTGCTGGTGTGTTGAATTTTTTGACATAGGGTGCTGGCAGATTATGGGCCTCCTATAGCTGCTGCCAGGCCCCTAATCTGCCATGGGCCCCTATATACCGCCTCCTCATGCTGCTGCCAGGTCCAGAGTCTGTCATGGGTCCCTGTACGGCCTCCCATTGCTGCTGTCTCCATCGCCAACACTCTGCCATGTGCCACTTTCAGGTCTCCTCACACACTGCTGGTGTGTAGAATTTTTTGACATAGGGTGCTGGCAGATTAATGGCCTCCCATAGCTCTGCCCAGGCCCCTAATCTGCCATGGGCCCCTATAACCGCCTCCTCATGCTGCTGCCAAGTCCAGAGTGTGTCATGGGTCCACTGTACGGCCTCCCATTGCTGCTGTCTCCATAGCCACACTCTGCAATGTGCCACTTTCAGTCTCCTCACACTGCTGGTTGTGTTGAATTTTTTTGACATAGGGTGCTGGCAGATTACGGGCCTACCCATTGCTGCTGCCAGGCACGTAATCTGCCATGGGCCCCCCGTTAACCTGTGTACTCCTCATGCTGTGACGTTGCAACAAGGTGGAATTCAACCCTACATATGTTAGACCGCCTTTACGAACAGCGAAAGGCCATCACCGATTTCCTGATGTTAAAAAGCGGATAAAGGTACTCCCAGTGTAACTTAGATGTCAGCCATTGGCAGCTCATGCGTGACACCTGCGCTTGCTCAGGCCCTTTGAGGAGGCCACGCTATTCGTGAGTCGGCAGGACTATGGGATGAACGACGTCATTCCTCTGTTGCACTCCTGGAACAAATGCTGTTAACAATGGCTGGTCAGGGTGCGGTAGACGTGGCGCACAGATCTCAACGCCACATGACCCCTGTGGGGGCAGGACAGGAAGAAGAAGGAGGAGGTAGAGGAGGACATTGGTGCTCAGGAATTATTGAGTGAAATGGGGTGGTTTTTTTCCACTCAGCGGACAGGAGTGGAGGAGCAGGAGCATCTGGTAGAGGAGGAGGAGGAGGAGACAGAGGACCCAGACGCACCGTGGCAGTATGCTGTGGAGATTGGAGGCAGGGAGTCCCTCGCATTCCTTGGCACAAATGGCCCATAGCATGCTCGGTTGCTTGCGTAGCGACAGCCGAATAATAACCATCAGACAGAGGGATGACTTTTGGCTGTCCACCTTGTTGGACCCTCGCTACCGTTCAAAAATGGTGGCCTTTTTCACACCTGCTGAGAGGGAGGCCAAAATAACGTACTATAAAAACCACCTATGTAGTCAGCTGGTCTCTGCCTGTCTGCGCCAACGTCCATCCTCAGACACTGTGGGCCCTGTGCGCTCGCGTTCCGCTGCCATGGCAGCAGGGGAGGGTGGGGTGGGGTGGTAGGAGCAGTGGCAGCTCCACCAGCAGCGGCTGCCTCAGTCTGCAGTCGATGAGTAGCTTTCTTCACCAGCGCAGTGAGGAAACTACTAACCAGCCGCAGCAGCAGCAGCAGCATCAGGTGGACCTGGAGCAGGACCTCAACAACAGGCTTAGGCCTACTTGGACAGCACCCTGCCAACCGAGGTAGACAATCCCCTTGACTACTGGGCAACGAAACTTGACCTTTGGCCCCAACTAGCTGAATTTGCCCTTGAAAGGCTGTCATGCCCCGGCCAGTAGCGTGGCATCGGAGCGCGTGTTTTAGTGCGGCAGGAGGTATTGCAACTCCGCGGAGGGACACGACTGTCCACCCAAAGTGTGGAGAGACTGACGTTTGTGAAAATGAATCAGGCGTGGATTAGTCTGGATTTCAAACCACCAGTTCCTGACCACAACTGACTAAATCCGCCATGAATCATGCCCCAAACATGTGCCACTTTCAGGTCTCCTCACACTGCTGGTGTGTTCCATTTTTTGTCATAGGGTGCTGGCAGATTACGGGCCTCCCATAGCTGCTGCCAGGCCCCTAATCTGCCATGGGCCCCTATAAACCGCCTCCTCATGCTGCTGCCAAGTCCAAGTCTCTCATGGGTCCCTGTACGGCTCCCATTGCTGCTGTCTCCATCGCCACAACACTCTGCCATGTGCCACTTTCAGGTATCCTCACACTGCTGGTGTATTCCATTTTTTTCATAGGGTGCTGGCAGATTACGGGCCTCCCATAGCTGCTGCCAGGCCCCTAATCTGCCATGGGCCCCTGTTGTCGCTTGTTGGCATATTCCGCTCGTTCAGATGCTCCTTCTCCTGCTACTCCTCTTTTCCCTTTGGGCCCCAGTTTCACGGATTCCGTCAGCAGTCTTTCTTGGAATCCGTTTCCAAGAGACAACAGTTTGCGAGCACGCACCATACGGTGCAGAAACTGAACGTCCTCCTGTCCAAGTGCTGCTGCCAGGCTCGTAATCTGTCATGCGCCCCTGTACCGCCTCCTCATGCTGCTGCCAGGTC